AAAAAAAAACAACAAAAAGATTAGGTATGAAAATTTTACCGCTGTGGTGAAAGAGCAAATGATCGGAGTGCGTCTGAAACGACGTATAAAATGAGCGCAATTTTACAGGACATTGACATTGATGTGGTGGCCGTGCTGAATGATACTGTTGGTACATTGATGGCATGCGCATTCAAAGAGAACACCTGCCAAATAGGGGTGATCGTTGGAACTGGAAGCAATGCGTGCTACATGGAAAAGATCGACGTTTGCGAAAAGCTAAAGGATCTGCATCTGGAAAAAGACGGACTGCCAGATGAGGTAAGCTGCGTTTCTCCACTTATAAATTTTCGACGGGGTGGACTCTTGTCGCGCTCCACAAAGAACCGGCAAGAATTATGACGATTTGATGGACGGAAACATTTCAAGTAGCTAATAATTTTCATTACCATTACTTATTAAAAATTAGTTCATACAAATTTCCAGTAAACTTTATACAAATTTCACCTGGTGGTTAGCTAACAACACTTGGCAAGACTTTTAGCCACCACCTCGTTCTAAGCGTTTTATCTGAATTATTAAAAAAAAAAGCCTTTTGTTAAATAAGAGTGCGAGGGATCATGGAAGTGAACTGATGACAAATCAAATTCAGATGATCATCAACACGGAGTGGGGAGCATTCGGCGATGATGGGGCACTGGAATTTGTTCGAACCCAGTTCGATCGTGAAGTGGATGAGCAAACGATCAATCCCGGCAGACAACTGTAAGCATTCTTGCAATCTACTTGTCCATGGAAATTTTTTTCCATTTCGCTGCTGCAGAGGACTGATTTCACTGGTCACTTGAATGACCAGGAGCAGTTGTGAATTTCCCAGGGCTAGTCTTCCGGCCCAGCGCCGTTGTGGATTTCTGTCGCACGAATTCCAGGAGCGGTATTTGCCTAGAAACAACTCACGCAAGTCTGGGAGTACCATCGTTTCAGTAGGCTGAGCGTTGTTGTTGTTGTTGTGTGTTAGCAGTGCTGCTGTTCAGGGTCTCAGTTGCCGATTCTTTCGGATTGTTCGCAAAATATGTTTCTTCGGCTCCATTCCAGGCATTTAGCGAGCTCGCAGTAACGCGGGCACACTGCAGCGGCGGCGGCATTCCGGAATCGCATGTATCCTGTTGGGATGCACAATCACTGACGCCGCTGCAAAAGCTTCTGCGAGACGCCCAATGCCTACTATTATCCATATTTTTGGTGGTAATTTGGAAGGACAGCCGGTAAGGAACTGCGAAATCCTGGCTTTTCAAAGGCTAGGAAAAAGGCTTCTTTTATAAATCACTCACATTTCACGGCTTTCTTGCACCTCAAAACTTGTGACTGTCTAAATAATCCCAAGCGCTTTCTAAAGAAAATTTTACTAAATTCATGAGAGAGCAAAACGGTCACAACAAAATGAAAATCTGTCACAGAGATTGACCGCTGGTGCATTGCAGATTCGAGAAGATGATCTCGGGAATGTACATGGGCGAGCTGGTGCGCGTAATCCTGGCTCATTTAGCTCGTCTGAACCTGCTCTTCAACGGCAACTACGAGGCAATCTCGAAGCCACACTCCTTCCCGACCAAATATGTCTCGGAAGTCGAAAAGTGCGTTCAGTATTTGTTTGTTATTAAATACTAAGATTTCTGTTAGGCTTAAACAGATGTAAATGCTGTTATTCCAAGGGTAGATTTTATTCAGTAGCGATGTATAGTGAAAATATTAAAGACCGAGAATTATGCTATTCTTGAAAAAATAACAGTTTAGCCGTTGTCAACCGAAACACGCGGTCGGCTCGGGCATAATCAACCTGCTTGGCTCAGCAACTGGTAAAACTCGATTCGGTCGCACAATGTGCACCAATATTTTTGGGTTCG